GGGGGGGGGGGGGGGGGGGGGGGGGGGGGGGGGGGACGGACTTACAGCCAGGGAGAGGCACTTGCTATATTAATCAGGATTACATTCATTATGCCTGTGATGATTAATTTTATGTATGAGCTAGAACACAGCACCCAGATATTTGGTCAAACACTATTCTAGATGTGCCTGTGAAGGTATTTTTTACATAAGATTAACATCTAAATCAGTAGACTATGAGTAAAGCAGATTCTCCTCCATAATGTCAGTGGGCCTCATTCAATCAGTTGAATGTATTAATAGAAAATACTTACTTCCTCCAAGGTAGAGGGAATTCTGCCTTCAGACCGGGACTGAAACTCTTCCCTGAGTCTCAAGCCTGCTGGCCTACCATGCAGATTTTGGACTTGCTAGACTATACACACATACTATATATGCCGCTGATGCTTTTATTTCTCTGGAAGATCTCAACTTATATAACCCCTTTACCATCAAATTCATCCCTCAGTAAATGATCTCATCACTAACTATAATAACCCTACCCTTCCTTTCTGACATTAGTTTATAATAAAGTGATAGAGGTCACTAATGACATCATAGAAACATTTCACTAGCCGTGCACTGCCTATCCACAGACTTCTAATTACATGATTTGTATAGGCCACAGTAACGATACTAGCAGCTGAACATAATTCCTAACTGGAATTATGTAGTGAAAAGGTCATTATAAAGCTGAACATTCATTCATTGTAAGCCGCCGAGAAGAATATTATTCTCATTTAATATATGGAGAAAGTAGAAAAAACATTTGACTTCATGAGTAATGAGATTTGTCATCGTAGTCCACAGCCCTCTCATTGTCATAAATGCACCCACCATGAAAATAAGAGCATGCCTGCTTGAGTTTGAATCCATAACTCTGCTGTGTGAATTAGTGCCTCAGTTTTTCTAAACTGTAAAAAAGGAATAAGAACAGTATTTTTTCATAGTACTATGGTAAGGAATAAAAAAGAAAATTCATGTAACACCTTTAGAATAGTGTCAGGTACATGCTACAGCATCAATAAATGTCAGTTATTGTTAATAATAATAATTATTACATTATAAAAATAAGTTGTCATTATTATTACCACCTAATAGTAACATTTAACTGTAAAATGGCCATCACAAAAGTGACTGTACTAGAAACACATAAATTAAAAAACATTTTCTCAATGATGCTAATCTTCTATTTTAAAACTATAATCTGATCTACGTTACTGGCCTTCTTTTGTTTCCTACAATCATCCTGCATATAAAAAACAATGAGCAGAGAAACAATAAGTTTAGTGACTGAAACACAGAAAATGCTAAATATGTTTTACTTTCTTTTCTTCTCTCTTTAGAAGACCTTAGTCTTATGGTGATAAAAATTTTAAAACATCAAAGTTCCCACTCTAGAATAATAATACAAATGTGTAGCAGGTGATTCAAATAATTTTTAAAATTTCCTTACCCAGAAGATCCGATGCTCTTACAAACACCAAGGAGGGGTCTTTTTTCAGCAAAGTTATCACACTTTTGAGCACCTGATAGGGAGCATAAAACAAAATGTAAACTTTGAGAAACATTCTTGTATCCTTCCCATTATTTTCCTACTTTCAAAATATATACAACTGAAATGATAGAAAAGTATTAATTGTAAATTGATATAATTTATACACGTGACTGAACAAAACATAGAAAAGGTAAATAAACCTGCAAACATTAAAGAAATCGAACAAGCATGTTATTTAATTATATTATTATATTATATTATATATTTACTTATATTTATTTTTTTGGCAGCTAGCTGGCGAACCACTGACCTTGGTTTTACCAACACCACATTCTAACCAACTGAGCTAACTGGCCAGCCCCTGAATCAGCAATTTTTAACATTTTAATTGCCACCAACTTCAATCTTATACACATTCTCTATGAGATCAGAAAACCACCCCCACCCCACCAACTAATTACCTAAAACTAGTATGATCTTGATATTAAAACTAAATGAAGGTAGCTCAGGACAGGAAAATTATAAAATTACAGGCCATTTTCATTGATATACTGATAAATGCAAAAATCCTCAACAAAATATTAGTAAACCAAGTAGCAATATATTAGGGGGAAAAAAATCTCATAACCAAATTAGATTTACCCAATAGTAATAGTTTCACATTATAATATCTATTTATGTAATTCATCATACTAACATTTCAGCAGATGCAGAAAAAGCATTCAGTTAAGTTCTATACCTAATCATGATAAGAACAAAAGAGAAGAATAAAAACAGGTTTCCTAACCCAATAATGGTTATCTATAAAAGATCTACTGCAAATATCATAGGTAATGGTTCAGAATATGCCCATTAAAATCAGTAACAACACAATATACTCAATTTCTCCTCCCATTCACCCCTATGCTGCAAGTCCTAGTCAACATAATAATAACAAATGAACTCAACAATATTACTAGATATAAAACCAATATAATACCAGCAACCAGCAGAAAAAATAAAATCAGGAAATAGAAATGGCTCTGGACCATATGAAAAGACGCTCAATTTCACACCTGAGGGAAATTCCTTAAAACTATATTGATAATGGTGCTATAGGAATTCAGGACATACCACCCCAAAATATGCTGCTTTGGTATATTGAGCTAAAAGCACGTGAAAAACAGTAGATGCACTCTGACCTCCCTTTGCTTCCTAGAAGCAGGAAAAGAAACCCCCAAGTGAAAGATGCTCTCCTTATACCAGGAGGAAAGAAAGATTCTAATCACCAGAGATGGGGAGTCCAGGATAAGAGAAACCTGTATTAACTTTGTTAAAGTAACCTTCATCTTCCTAATACTTTTCCACAAATGCCACTCGTTGTTTAACCCTGTAAAAGCACTTAAGCCCTAGGCACTCACCCGGGTCTTCATTTTCCTGTAAGGATTTCCACATACATTTAAAATTTTACTAGATAAAATTTGTATGCTTTTCTCCTGTTAATCTGTCTTATGTCAGTTTAATTCTTAGGCCCAGCCAGAGACCCTGAGAGATCAAAGGAGAAATTTTTCCTCCCCTACAATATTGTAGTTATATTTTTAAGATATCTTATTTTTTGGAAATAAGTAATAAAATATTAACCAATAAAATGATATCTAGGATGAGATTCAAAATAATATGGAGGTAGGGGAGTAGATGCTAATGAGAGAAAATCAGCCGTAAAATAATGAGTGATGGGTTCTTAGGATTGTTATACTATTCATACTACTTTTGAATAAGTCAGAAAGTTTCCACTTAAAAAAATTTAACTACAGATGTACATTGACATTTACCTAAGAGCTTCTCCAAAAAATCTAAAATTTTAATTCTTTAACCATATTAATCAAAATTACAAGTACAAATACCCTTTAAACAAAAAATATCATTGCTAGGATTTCATACCATACATATAGTCAGGCATGAGAGAAATAAATTGTATACAAGATTATTCACTACAGCACTGTTTATAATAGCAAAAAACTAGAAAAATTTGACTGTGTAATATTTCCTACAGCTGCAAAAAGAATGAAGTACTCTATGAAAACACAGAATGAAATAAAAGATATGAAGTGGGCAAAGAAATACATACAATAATAGGAAAATACAGAAAAATATACCTTTTTTTGTATAAAGATGAAAAGGATTTATTTGCACACACACACATACATATATATACAAACTCGGCAAGGATACATAAAAAATCTTATAGATACCTATGGGAGGAAAATGAAAAAAGCAGAAGACAAAGGGAGAAATAGAAGGACACTTTTCATTGTATAAAATACCTTATACTTTTTAGTTTTCAAACCATATGAACATATAAATTTCCCCAAAATTTTCTTTGTTTTAAATAAGGAGGCAAATGCCAGGAGAGAGCAGTAAGTGGTTGTTTCAATTCTGAGTTAAATTGATAGACTGAAGATATGTATATTTCATGTCATTCCTTTTGAAAATTCTAGGAAAATTATGTTAAATTAAATAGGGTTAAAAAATATATAACATCCCCAACAAATTGTTGAAATAGACAAGTGATGCCTGACATAACAACCTTAAGTAAAAGTTCAAGGCAGCGCTGGGAGGAAAAAAGAAAACAAAAAAAAACCTGAGAATCAAAGTACTTTACACCACAAAATCTTTGAAAGACACAATAACTGATAATACATCCAGTACACCTGGGATTGGATGTGAAAGGGAATGAAGCTAAAATAGAGGACTGGATTTGTTTTGGGCTATTTGAAAAACACATAGATCCTAAGACCTTCATTTGAGTTAAGCAACTCACCCTTCTCATTCCCAGAACAAGACTGAAAGGCTATTCTCCACAGACAGTAAGACAGAAGGACACAGGCTACTGGCGAGTGCAAGCAAACAAACAAACCAAGAAGATTAAATGACAACACTAACACTTAATACTGAAGCAGCCCTTCCCCATTCTCTATGTCCCTTCTCCCATTGTGCTTCCAGAATACTAACACCAGAACTTTTTCCTTTAGGGCAGGAGCTTGTAAATCTTTTCTGGGAAATTAACAAATCCATAAGGAGACTGAAAAATACTATCCATGAGATGGCTCCAACGAACAAACGAGCACAACCAAAGCACCCCACAATATAGTTAAAAGTTGACAAACACGGACACAGTGTTTTTAATTAGCTTATTAGTTTTCTACTGACAATCATGTGCAAACAGCCAAGGATTAACAGTCATCTATACCGGCCAGCCACCAAAAAAAAAAAAAATGTCATCTAGAAAAGCGTCTAACACTGTACAGGAAGAAAACATCAAAAATAAAAAATACTATCATTTATAATGTCCACGATTTAAGAGGATATGTTGCAGGCATGGAAGAATATAAGAATACAATGAAAAATGAATGGTAGAAAATAAAAGAGATTTCTCAAAAAAATTTTTTAAATGGTAGATATGCCTGGCCGGTTAGCTCAGTTGGTTAAGAGCACTGTGCTGATTACTTCAAGGTTAAGGATTTGGATCCCTGCCGGCCATCAAAAAAAAAAAAAGTGTAGCTATTATTTAAAAATTCAATACAAGCCTCAGAGTAACATTTTTTTAAAATGTCCCAGAGAAAAGAGCAAAAACACAAAAGAGAGGAAAACAGCACTTAGACACACACACAAATTCTGTAAGGAACAGACTCAAAGAGCCAAGAGAAAATCATGTATGAAATCATTGAAAAAATTTCCCCAGAACAAAAGAGTATGAGTTTATCAGCACCTTCAGGTTCCAGCACAATGAATTAAACAGAGCTATATCAGGGTATATCATTTCGAGACAACAGAAACAAAAAGAAGCTTCTACAAGCCTCTAGAGAAAAAGCAGGTTGTTCGTAGGATCAGGAATTCAACTGGTTGCTCTGGGTATTAAATGATATAAATATAACTTATCACAAAAGCCTACAGCTAACATACAGACTTAATTCTTTCACTCTAAGGTCAGGTACAAGACAAGCATGTCCACTCCCTATACTGTGATTCAATATAATACTGCAAGTTCTACCCAGTACAATAAGTCTACAAAGAAAACAAGAGCCATAAAGATCAGAAAGGAATAAATAAAACTCCCTATTTGCACATGACATAATTTTTTACTTAGGAAATCCTGAGGAATCAGCAAAAAAAACTCCTAGAATAAGTGAGTTAGTTGAACAAGATCACAAGATAAAAGATCAATATACAAAAACATATAGTAGCCATAAACACATGAAAACTGAGATTTAAAATATAATACTGTTTATAGTTGCTCAAAAGAAACACTCAAATATAAATCTAACAAAGCATGTATACTGGAAACGACAAAATGCTGATGTAAGAAATTTAAGACAATCTAAATAAATGGAGATATATAATGGTATAAAGTTTAATGCAATTCCTACCAAAATCTCATCAATATTTTTGGTAATTATAGGCATGCTTATTCTAAAATTTATATGGAAAGGCAAAGGAGCTAAAACAACTAAAACAAGTTGGAAAAGGGAGAAAATGAGAGAAGTCACTCTACCATATTTCAGGAGTTTTTATACAGCTATAATAATCAAGACTGAGTGGTACTGGCAGAGAAAAAGAGACACACAGATTAAGGAACAGAAGAAAATGCAGAAATAGACCCATGCAAATATGGCCAACTGATTTTTGACAAAGGTGTAAAAGCAATTCAAGTGAGAAAGAATAGTCAACAAATGGTCCTATAGGAATTGGATATCCATAGGAAAAAAAACTCAACCTAAACCTCACACTTAGCCAAACTTAACACGTTTAAATGTAAAACTATGCAGTGCAACTTTCAGAAGAAAACACAGAAGAAAATCTACAGGACACAGGGTTTGGCAAACAGATCTCCAAACATGAAACCAAAAAGTATGATCCATGAGAGAAAAAAATTTTTTAAATAATTAACTGGACTTAATTAAATTGAACTTAACAAATTTTGCTCTGTGAAAGACCCTTTTAAGAGAATGAAAACAGGAGCTACACATACACTTAAAAAAATACTTGCAAATC